GTCAGCTGGGGCGAAGGGTCGGCGGGGTCGGAGGTTTTGAGGCGCCGTTGGGTGGGGGGATGAGGGGCCCGGGCGATTGAGGAGGGATTATCATGGGTTTGTTGAGGTCATGGGGGGTCATAGGTGACTGGTTATAAAGGGGTTGATGGGTGGCAGGGGTTGGGGTTTGGGATGTGTGGATTTGAGTCAAGTGGGGGTTTTCAAGTTGAGGGGGTGACAAGTGCCACGGATGGCAGGCAACATTACGTTGTGGGATTCATTGGACATTGGGGGCGCACAAGGGAAGGTGGGGGGTCGTCATGACACGCAAACGCATGGGCGTGGGCATGGCGGGAGAGCTTCGGCTGGAGGCCAAGGCAACAAAGTGTGACTGCCGGGGGGAGTCCGCGGGAGCATGAGACGGTGGCATCATCATTCGCGACGCGGCCGGAATTCGATGCAGGCCGGGGATTGTAGAGAGCGCACAAGGGTCAAAGTGTGAGGGAAGGGACCAAGCGGCCCCCCCGGCCCCCGCCTGCCAGTCACCCATTCTGAAAACCCACCATCTTGCTGCCCCTCGCCACCGACCACCGAGCTGCCGCCGCCGCCGGCTGAAGAAGCCGCCCCGAAGCCGCGCAGCCCCCGGCCCCGCGGCGGCGCCGGCGCACCCCTCCAAGCGGGTGCGTCGTATCCCACAAAGCGGCAGCGGGAGAGCAGCAGGCAGTACTCGCTGAGCTGGCGCGGATCCGACACCCCGTCCTGGCGGAGCTGCAGCTCGAGCCGCGCGTGAAGAACGTGCAGCCTGGGGCGTGCGAGGGGTGAAAACAAGGGGTGCTGTTAGTGGTGCCCGCACTGAGGCTGAGGTTGAGCTGCATGGTGTCCCCACCCCCCGTTCCCCCTGTGCAGGGGGCAGCAAACAGTTGCAGCGGGGGTTTTGGGGCGGATCATCGCCAAACAGGCAGGGCCGCCGCTCACACCCCGAGGCCGGTGTCGTCGTGCCTAAGCAATCTCGGGCGCCCTCCAGGCACAAACCCCCTGGATCACAGTCACGAGGGCATGAACGCGGTGGGAAAACGCTCCCTCATTATCGCTGCCGCCTCAGGCCAGGTCGCAACCGCCGCACCTGATCCAGTCAGCGGCTGCCCCTATTTCTTGGCAAAACCCCAGGGCCGAATCGAGCAGCGCAGCCTCCGCCGCCAGCAGCTCCCCGCAGCTCCCCGCGCCGCCGCCGCCGCCGCCGCGGCCGCCGCTGGCGTCACCGCCTGCAACGTCCACGTCCGCGACCGCGGCCGCGAGGCGCTTCGCGAGGCGCTCGGCCAAGTAGGGGCGGTCGAGCTGTGTGTCTGAGCCCAGTGGCTCGGGGAAGGCGCCGCGCAGGGCGTCCATCTGCCCGACAGATATTGGGAGTTGGGGAATCGATTGATCAGGAGGACGGCAGCGAATGCAGCGTTGCTCAGTGAGCAGCGCCCGGCGGCGCACCCCGACAGCAGCGCGACCGGGGCGCCGGTGCTCAGCGCAGCGCGCGCCCGCGGGGCTGCAGGAGCAAGCGCATGCGTAAGGAGCGGGGGCATATGGATAGCAAGTCGAGACGAGCAACAATGCGAGGCGCCTCAATAGTGTTACACGCCCACCTGTTCGACCGTCAGATGGGCCCACGCGCACAGCGCGTACCGTGCCGCGCCGTCCCTGTCTTCCAAGACCCACGCCGCCACCAGCTCCGCGTGCACCCCCGCCGGCAGCAGCGCCAACGCCTCCCCCGCCACCAGCCCCTGCTGCAGCACCCGCAGCCGCGCAGCGGGCGGCGCGGCGGCCGCGTCGCAGAGCGCCGCCGGCAGCTGCGCGGCGCGCAGCTTCCCCAGAGCGCCCAGCGGCGGCGCCGCCGCCGCCGCGGCCGCGTCGGCGCGCGCGGCGCGGTCGAAGGCGGATGGGGAGTACTGGTCTGGAGACAGGCGCGTGGGCAGCTGGGGCTGCGGCGCGCGGCGGGACGGCTGGGGCGGGGCGTCCGCGGCCGCGGGGGCGGCGGCGTCCTCTGCAGCTGTTTCATCAAGGGCCGGCGGTCCTGGGGCGCCCCACTCGTCTGAGCCCTGCGAACGGGCGGATGGCAGGAGAATCGTGGAAACAGGGCCGGGCGCGGCGATCTGCCATCCTCTGGGGACAGGGGCAACGCCTTGCCTTGCTCCGACAGCGCGAGCCCGTCCGCCCCCCTCTCCTTCCCTCTCTCCCCCCAGCTGCTCGCACACACAGAGTTTGGGTTCAAGAACCCTCACCAAAAAAGGCCCCCAATCAGCAGCCCCCAGACACGCTTCCCCAGCAGGGCCCCACCCACCTCATCATCTGAGAAATCGAGGCCCAGCTGATCTGTCAGGTACGCTAGGACCCTACCCCGCCCCTCGGGCCCCTGGCCCCAGTCGCGCAGCGCCAGCAGCGTCCGCAGCGGCTCGAGCGCGGGGGAGTTTCCGTCGGGCTCCTGCGGTGACCCGAGGCGCGGCGGCGGTGGGGGTGGCGTGGGGCCCACGACAAAGGGTGAGGCGAGCGGACTCTGCAGGCAGGTGGTGCACTTGTTCATGAGCCACGAGCGGGGGGATGGCGGCTGCGGCGCGCACCCTTGGTGGATGCAGCGTAATCAGGTGGCAACAAGGGCGCGCCGGGGGCCGCCGCTGTCGGGTGGAACCATGGCCCCCGCCCTGGCTGCCCCTCGGAGCCTCCCATACCCTACCTCCAGCATCCTGCATAGATCCGCGTAGTGCCGCCTGGCACGCGGCAAGTCGTCATCCTGGGCCGCCAGCAGGGCTGCGAATGAGGGGCACGAGCATGCATCGCTGTGTGAGGAGCGGGTCACCGGACGGCGCCGGCCGTGCATGCACCATCCTAGCCGGACGAGGCAGGTTTGTGTGCGCAGCAGCCCTCAAATGTAGATATGTGAAATATACATCGCCTTCGCCTAACATGCGTCCATTAAGAATGACGCGCGCATTGACCTGCTTACCACTCAGGAACGCGTGCTCACGGGTCCCGGGAGCTGTCAGCTTATCTAGTACTACCTCACGTCCACCATCCTGTAGCGCACCGCCCAAGACCAGCCCCTCGAGGACCTTCAGTTCGAGATCATCAGCGGGATCCATCGGAAGGCAAGCTTGTATCCCGCATAAACCCTGTCACTGATTGAGAAAAGGTGGCTAATGTTCGCATCCACTCCACTCAACAGCAAGTGTGTCTCTTTCGCGTGCTTTTGATAGTGCATACGCTGGGCATGTCGGGCAGCCTGGCGCAGCTGCTGGCACAAGGGAAGGGCGCCTGCCCGCGCAACGTCCTGGAGGCGCCATGTCCGCCTGAAGCAAAGGGACGCCATAGCGGTGAAAAGTGTTGTGGCTGTTTGCACTCGCGGCACTGCTGTCCACTGACCCCAGCATCCCCGCACGCGCCCGCCACCCGCCACCCCCAACCCGGTGTACATCTCCCAGCGCCCCGAGGGCGCTGACGCCATGCTCACGCTCAGATAGCGAGTGAAGGCCAATGCGGCGCTGCACACCGCCACGAAGGCCACTGGCGTCCCCGTGTACGCCGTCATCAAGTCGATGTCCACATCAAAGCTCATAAAAGCATTCCGTACGCTGCTGGGAGTTGAACCTGCGACCGGTGGCTTCTTTGGCGCGGTTGCGGGCGGCGGCCGTGCAGACAGTGACGACGAAGACGCCAGCGGCGGTGCGACGCTGCCCGGCGGCGGCACCGCGTGGGGCGCCGGGCGGCCGTGGCGCGATGCTGTGCGGCAGGATCGAGCGTGGCAGCGAGCGGGGACGACGACGGCGACGACTTGGCGTGCGGCGAGGGCGAGGACAACGTGGCAGCCGTAGCGGAGGCCGCAATGCTAGGCCGCGCGGCGTATGGGGGCGGCGGGGCCGTCGGCAGCATCGGCCGCATCGGCCGCAGCGGCAGCAGCGGCAGCAACGGCAGCAGCGGCAGCAGCGACAGCAGCGGCAGCAGCGGCAGCAGCGGCAGCAGCGGCAGCAGCAGCAGCAGCAGCTAAAAAACACAGCGGGGGAGCGCGAGGGGCGCAAAGAGGTGCAGCTGGCAATGGAGCAGATTGCGATCCCTTTGAAGCAGACCGTTGAGTTGCTGCTGCGCAGCGCGGGCGTGTGGGACGCGCAGGCCGCCATTATCGCGCGTTACCGGCGGGGCGTGGAGG